TTATCATCATGTGTGGATCAACAAACGAGGATGCGTGTATTAAATTGTATGATTTAAGAACGAATTCTTTATACCAGTATTATTCTGTTCATACAGCAGCTGTAAATATGGTTAAATTCCAAATGGAAACTTTATGTTAACAGCTTCTGATGATTCTACAATGAAGGTGATTTAAGATTTTAATTTCAAGTAGTAGCTCCAATAAGCTGTATTTGCTGCAATAAGAAATATCGGCTAGATTTTAGATCTTCTAAAAAGCCGTTCAATATATATTCTTGAGGGACATTCTGATAACGTAACATGCATAACATTTTCAAACAATGGTAAGCTCTTTGCTTCTAGTGGCCCGGATCGACGAATGCGAATATGGAAGTCTAATAATTAGTGTGAGGATGACTGATATTCCGTAGTTAAGGTCCAGTGAATACAAACTTGTGGCAATGTAAATGAAGAATAGAACAGCGATGAAGAAGATACATACGTGAAGCAAGACCAAACGAATAATTTAATACAAATATGTTAAACTAAACAAAGTAATGGTCATATTTTATTTAAAAAAAATGTATTACTAAGTCATATCAAGAACTATTAATTATATATAACATATATTATTTCAGTATTTGTCAGATAAATTCAAAAAGTTGCATCTAGAATCAGACAACAGTACAAGATTATCAGCGAAAATCATCGAATCTAAAATGAACATGAAGAAATAAAATCTTTTCAAGTAGATTGTATAGAAAATACACTCACAGTAGTCTCGCAACAGTTTCAAACAATCCTACACAATCAGACATCTTCCAATGCATTTTCATCGCATTAAAACAGTAGAAGATAAAATTTTAGATAAAATACAATTATTACGTTACCATTATAATGTATTACAACGTCTGATAATAATAGGGAAAAGCGCTGTGGAAACTAGATTTGTAGCGTCTCCGATTTATAATCATTAATCACTTGGAATAATGTGTATGTATCACAATATTAACAAATGATTAACTTTTCAAGTAAATCTTGCTAATGACTAAAATTTCGGTGCTTTATATTATAGATATAAAAAACGTAGAATATTTTATTATATTATATAAATTTAAAAAATATAATTGTAATATACAAACTACTTAAAATAATAAAAGATATATGATTTTAAGTATATTATTTTTGTATTTTTTGTATATATACAAGAGTGAGATATTTTTTTATAAATATATATGTACAACATAAATAATCTGTGTTAATATATGTCTATACATTTTTTTAGAAATACCTGCTACGATCATATAAATAGTTTTCTATAATGAATCTCTAAAGTTTCCTGATCATTTCAAAGTATAAAAGTATTTTATTCCCTGATAAATCTATCCTGTATAAAAATATCTACATACATGTATCTTACATTAAATAATATAGATAGTTTGAATTAAATAATATAGAATGTATATAATATACATGTTCTTTTTACTAAAATTATATAGCTGTCATTATAATATTTATAAATATCCTCAATATTACATGATGTAAACAGCCAATGTTTATATGACCGTATAGTATTTTTTTAAATGATTTTCCTGAAAAAGAATAGAAAAAATTAATGAAATTATGTGACAAAATCTCTTGCATAAAATTTCTGATCTGCAATTATACGAATATAAAAATAAATGTGTAGAAATATTGATCTTTTATGAAATATTGATAACTGCGCAATTAATTTTTTAATAAATTTAAAAAAATAATAATATACAATAAATTTATTTTAGAGTTCATATATTTGAAAATTAAACTAATATTTTGATGTTTTATGTTATATGAGAAACATAGCTCATCTCGTGTTGCATTATATATATTATAGTAAATTCAGAGAATATAATTTGTAATATGTAAGCTGCTTAATATAATACAAGACATTTTCTTATACATAATCTTAAATACATTTTGTACTTTGTATGTACATATATTTATGAATTAGTAATTGAATGCAATTTTCTTTTTTTACAGAAAAAATATTATAAGAATTATTATAATGTATGCCTGACATTTAGCAGCCCCTTTATAATCATGTTACATAATCATCCACTTATTAATTTCCTTAATGAGTTTGTAAAAACTGGCAAGTTTTTCCTGTTTTCTTGAGCGTTTCTAAAATCTCATTCGAATTGAGCGCAGTGGTCACGAATACCTTCTTCTCTGGTAAATCAATCTTGATGTCATCAATACCTACATATCATACCATAATATAAGTTAGAAATATTTTGAACATAAATATCCCAGTCGACCAGCTAAAGTAACAATATATGTAATATATAATAGTAATAATTTCACACTTAATAATATAAATAAAATATAGCACAAATTGTACAACAGTTATTACATTATTAAGTGTGAAATTATAACACTAATCTATTACCTTTAATTTGTGTCGACTGGAATGTAATTTTTTTTCCTAAAAGATTACAACGTGCCATTTCTTATATTTGACACTTTCACTTTCCTATATTTAACCTCATTTTACACGGTTCTGATAAAAAATAATGTCTTCAAAGAGTATAATTTACGAATTACCGATATAATTTACAAAATACGGCGTACACAGAAAATATTTTTGTGTCTGCAAAATTAATTTAATGTTTTCAAGTACCTGCTTTTTTCTTGAGTACATTTTGCACAGCCGTCGAACATCCCTCACACGTCATTTCGACATTAAATTCGTGTACCTTATGAACAAATTACTCGTCAAACATTGTCGTTTAAACATTTGTTTAAAGTTATCAAAATTTCGAGACTGGAATATCATTTTTCTATTACCTGAGCTGCCATAATAACGTCTCGTAGATTCAACTTCAATATCTCAAATGGATTATTGCCAAATCAAGTGACGTGGTAGGCCTTTCTCCGAACGTATTAAAACTATGAATACGGCAGAAATCTTATCTGCAGCTTTACTGTTAAAAATAACGTATATAGATTGTGCTGGCCAATGCTGGCCGTTTCTGATAATTCTAATTTCCAAGTAAATATATACAGGACGTATCAAAGTCTGGAAACGGTCATCGGTCAAAAATCTCAAATTTCGAAATCTTATTTCCATTTTTACGTAAAACTGAATTTATAGTGCAAAAATGCAAATAAGAGGAATAATGTCCAATCTGACTATCTTAAATGTTGTCCATGACATGATGAACGACATTCAAGAGCAGAGAGAATTAAGGAGAGTGGAATGGAGGGAATAGATTCTCTTATCCGATTGGTCTCAAATGGTGTGTGTGTGTGTGTGTGTGTGTGGCGTGCGTGTGTGTGTGTGTGTGGCGTGTGTGGCGTGCGTGCGTGCGTGCGTGTGTATCCATACATCATATATATATACT